GCTGTGGGTGGTGCTGTGCCTGCGTCGTCAGCGAGGCCGGCAAGTAAAGAGGCCAAGTGTGGCCTTCGTCAAGGCTTTGCGGCACTCAGTCGTTATGCTGCCTAGCTTCCCATGAACCAAACCTAATCTGAGCATGCAAATGGGGCCTAAAGTAAAAGAGGTACTCGACTATGTCATGCTGGCATGTGGGCCGAGACCAGCCACTGTGCAAAGTACGCCAGCTGATATGCATCCATAGATTGACAGGTTTAGACTGAGTGCAGAGCCACCTGATCACGCGCAGCATAGCAGGCTGCAGCAGATCAACGGCGCCGGGTAGACCTAAAGTGTGCAACCAGCAGAAAGCCAAAGCTGACGCGTTACTGTAGCAAAAGTTGCTGGTATTCAGGAGTTGTAGGTTCCTGACAGTTCTTCGACCATCTTCTGAATGGCCACGGCCAGGGCCGATCGTCCCATTCGGTCCCCCCGAAGGGAGGTTGCCACCACCCTGGTCGCCCCACTGTGGCTGAGCCGATAGAAGGCATTCCATAGTTGGTGGCACTCCGCCGTTCGGCTTCCGATTTGCAGCATCAGTGGCACCACATCCGACTGCATGTTCTGCACCAATTCGCGAGTGGTGTGAAAGCGGAGGATGGCTAGGGGCTGCAAGACCAGGACCTGCATCTGTTTCAAGAGCTCGAGGACCTGGGAGAGGGTCATGGGGTCCCTGTCCCGTTTCACCCGCAGCTGGCGTGCTGAGGCATCCCGTTCCAGGTATGGAACGTTGCAGGAGTCGTCCAGGACGAGCATGTCCTTCGCCTGCTGGATGGAGCGCTCGGACTGCATCACAGCTTCCATCCTTGTCAGCATCAAGTCCACCCAGTGCTTCAGCATCCAAGTCCTGAGGGGAAGGGTGAGCAGCTCCGGCTGGTCCTTCTTCATCTGGCGCCAGGCCTCTGTCGCCTTGAAGAGCTCCGGGACGGCCGACAACACGCCCTGGGTCTGGGCAAACATAACGCAGTTGTCCTGCGCCCGGTTGATGGACAACTGATCTTCGTGCCTCATCATCAACCTGCTCATTGACAGACGCAGTGAGAAGAGCTTCTTCTCCGTCGACCGATCCAGAGGCCGCTCCTCCCGATCGTCCTGGTCCCAGTCCTTGTCCCGGTTCCATTGGCGGCTGGGCTGCTGATACCGACGCGGAGCTGCTGGCTGGTGATCCCGGCCCCGTCCTCCCCAGTTCCCCTCGCCGGAACGAGAGTTTCCTTTGCTTTGGGGACGTTGCCATTTGTCCCTGCCTTTGCCGTTGCCGGTCTGCAGATCCTCCTCCGTCACCTCCGCTTGGCGCTTGGTCTCGCGCTGTGCAGAGTCCATTGGCTCCGGAGTCTCCACCGCTTCCCCCGGCGCCTGTGTCGGTGTCGTCGGGGCTCTTGTGCTGGGCGCAGAGGGCAGGCCACTGTCCGTCGGCCCCGGAGGCGTCGAAGGAGCAGGGCCCTTGTTCATCATTGATGACAGGAGAGACGCCTGGGCCTCCGCTGACATCAGCTCCTGCTCCGCCACTGCCCGAGCTCCCTCGCGAAGTGCATCGGGGGAGAGATCCATGTTGGAAGGCCTGTTGCAGCGTGCAGCTTGCAGTGGGCTTGCCCAACAGTTTAAGAAGCAGTCCTACTCTGTAGAGAACCGTGCACTCCTTAGCATGTCTAGGGCGACTGCAGTGCCTGGCCTTAAAGTCACAGCCACAGAATTGGCAGGGGCAGCGCAGGGCCGTTGCGCGATCTTGAAGCCACTGCAAAACCGCGGTATGCAGACCAAAGGTTTCAGGGTGTATGGCACTGAGATGTCGGGAAAAGTAGGTGGGGCGGGCCAACCATTGACCGCAAAATAGACAGAGCTGGAGGTCCGTGTGTTTAACTCTAGCTGCTAACTGCTGCCACTGTGAAGAGATCGCAAGTTGACACATATCTCGCGGCACCTGGGGAAAAAGCTGACAGGCCATTCGGAGATTTTCATCATCCGCCGGCGGGGTGGACTCACGGGCGTCTGCTGCTGGCTCTGGGGCTGGAGCAGGCGTAGGGTCAGAGGACTGGTGTTGCGCAGGGTCAATGTTGATGAGAGGAGTTTCATTATCATTAATGCTGGGTAGAGCCATGGGCTCCGTAGCAGTGGCACTCTCGGACAGCTTAGTCCCCGCAGTGCCAGCTGGCAGATCGCCATGATGGAAAACAGGGCAGCGGCGCTTCTCAAAGTGCATACAGAACGATGCCCAGCTGGTGAACTCCCATTGACAGTGTGCACATGTGGGCATGCCATGGACACAATGTGTCATGTACTCTCTGCGCATGACGGCATACGTGCGTTTGACAGGTGGGGTTGATGGCTACTGCGATTCGGGTGCTTCAGCGCAATGTGTATTCTCAGCGTGCGAACATTAGGAAAGTAACACCCGCATTTCGACCAGGCTTTTGGAGCAACTTTGGATGTAAGGGCCACCAGTCGGACCGGAGCCCGCGTTGGCGCTGTGTGTTGTCGCTGCATGGGATCCTGTACTGCAGCATGTAGGCCTTGCTCCAGTTGTTGCCACCATTTGTGGACTAATTCAGGTTGCAAGCTGATCATACCGTTGCTGTTGCAAGTCTGGATACGCTTCTGCACCTTTCTTAGCAGCTGCTGTACAGGTTCTTCAACCTGCAGGCGTGCATACAGGTCTGGGGTCGGTTCATGTGTGATAAAAGATGGTGCCTTGCTGAGGATGCGAAGCTGCCGAGCAACATGCTTTTGGAGCTTGGTGGCGCCCCCCGGAGAAAGGCCTATACTATCAAGGCCATGCATGAGCACCGAGTGCACGCAGGTTCGCCAAATTCCAGTGCGGTGCTGCAGGCTGATACCAGAGGAGCGCAGGGCAGGCACCAGCCGGTTAAAGGCACTCCAGGATTGCTTCAGGCGCTCTTTTAAGGTGAGAGACTCAAACTGCCCGTAGCCTAAGTATGAATGTTGCTTGACAGCCGGCAGGTGTAGCTGTTGTCCCTGCAGGGGTAGCTGGAGCGCCTTACCCAATACCGGATCATGTACCACGTGCTTGCTTAGAACAGTGTGCGTACGCGTGCCTCGGACTCCAATCAGGACTGCAGACTTAGTGGGGCTAGGACGCATACCAAAGTGATCCAGCGTACACAATACAAAAGCAATGTTCTCGAAGGCTTGCTCTAGCTGGGCTCCGTTTTGCACCAACCAATGAAACAAGAAATCGTCTGCGTACACAGTAGTGTCTTGCATGGCTATCCTTTGGCGGAGATAGGTTAGGATTAGCCCGGTATATAATACCCACAAGGCCGGAGCAAGGCAGCAGCCCTGTCGAATACCGTTTGATGTCTCAAGCGTGGCTTGTTTGTGCCCATGAGCGATTCTGAGACAGGCATGTTCATGGAGCTTGAGTATGACGTACTGGGCAGCATGGTCAACGTTCGCTAACTGCATGGCTTCCTGTAACCGCTCCCTAGGCATGACATCAAAAGCCTGCTTTAAGTCGACCGACAGCAGCACACCGCCTTTGCAAAAGTCAAGTGTGTGACCTCGACGTCTCAAATGTGGACTCTGCCTTTGCGTGTGTAGGATGGCACGAACTTGGGCGCAGTGTGCTGCCGCACGGTCCAATGCATCTTGGACCGAGCGGCCTTCTAAGTAGGCCATCTGCGGCAAATCACGGATCAGGTGGTGCAATTGGGGTCTGAGATGGTCATGCAGTATCATAGAAAGGGCCTTGGAGACTGGATGGATTAACGAGATGGGTCTTAAGGCTTCTGGGCCCGTAAGTGGTTTGTTGGGTTTGGGTATGAGGCAAAGATCGGCAATGTGCCATTCATCCGGCGGCTGCTGATCCATGTTGGCCAACCAGGCATTCAGCGCAGGAAGCGTTCTTTCAACCAAAACGTCCGCAGCTAAACGCCAGAGTCTGGCCGGGGCAGTGCTTGGTGGCAGAGCTTTGCTCAAGGACAGATGATGGAAGGCCTGGTGCAAGTGCGCCCAGGTGACCTGAAAAGGTGCTGCAGGGGGCAGGATCTGTGGCTGAGAGTGCTGATGAAAGAGCTTCCTGTAAAAGGATCCTATGGCCTCAAGAGTATCAGCAATGTCTAGAGGCCTTCCATCCTTCTGGCGAAGCTGCAGCTTTCGTCGGGGCTGCTTGGGCGCAAACAGTCGCAAAACTTTGAAGACTCCTATAAAGCCATTATGTCCGACTGCTTCCTGCAGTTGTTGCATAACGCGCTGACTTCGCCGACGGCGACATGTCCGCCGCAGCTCGCGTTGATGTTTCTGCAGTGCGCTGAGATCTCGCCAGCGAGCCATGAGATCACGCAGTGTGCGGCAGGCAGTTCTTCTACCCTGTTTAACTATTTCACGAAGGCGCCAAAGCTCCATGACTGATTGACCTCTGTTGTCAGGACTGGAGGGCTGCCGTTGAGTGGGTAGGTGTGAGGTGGCCTGCTGCCAGGCTCGCCTAAACATTGTGTTGGTGTCTAGGGCAGGGTGTGTCTTCTGCATGACCTGCGTAGCTCGACGAAAATTGTCTGCAACTTCGGGATGACTCTCACAGGTATGCTGCACTTTGTGCCTTTGCAAGGGAGGGGGCTTATGGTGACTACGGGGCCGAGCAGGTTTAGGTATGCTGCCTAGAATAGAAACGTGCCTCACACCTGTGACTGGCACAAGGCAGAATCTGCGGTCTGGCACAGCGAGAAAGCTGATCTGACTGTGTACGCCTTGTGAATGCAAAATCAATCTGGCTGTGGCCCGTCCGACCGGCAGGGTGGAACATCCACGCTTTCAGACCGCGCGGTCCCCACGTGTTGAGAGCGAGCAGGTCTTGATTGCGAACTACATCCTGTAGCGTAGAGGAGTCCCCTGCATGCGCACCCAAACGTTTGCATAGCCCTTGACCCACTAAAGAACCTTCCGTTGCTAGGTCAGCATTCATATCTCCCAGAACTAACAATTGGTTACGCTTAGGGAGGGATTGCAGCAGGGTTGCAAACTGTGCCAGAAACTCCGCACGCTTGCTCTGCAACTTGTCCTTCTGATCAGATGGAGCCTGCTGCCCGGAGTGGAGGGTAAGAAGATCGACGCTCGGGTCACCTTCCAAACGCACATGTAGCAAACGCCCTGGTATCACTTCCCTATGCTGAACTTGCGTAGCAGTGTATAACTTCTTGTCAATCAGTGCTAAAATGCCCGCCTGCGCAGTGTCCATTCCGCTATGTATAGCATAAAACCTGTCGGTAGCGTATTCAAGGGGCCCTTTCCAGTGCGTTTCCTGTATGGCTACCAGGTTGACGTGGCGACCGGCTGACGAGTTCAGCCATGTGCTGAGCTCCAAGTTACGATCAGCAGTGAGACTTCCTGCATTCCACGACAGGTAATGCAAACGGGATTGAAGGTCAGGCTGAGTCTGAATAGCAGAGCGGGGTAGGCGGGGAATATGTTCAACTCCTAATTGTGCGGCACTCATCCACCGGCCGCGATACCTGGCGCTGCCAGTCTGTGATGCACGTTGTCGAGCCCTGAGGTAGGCTCTCTTCTGTACAGGTCGGGGGTGAGATAGATTACTGGGAATAGCACCGTTGTGGTTTGCCCTAGCAGTACCACTGAAGCAGGCTTGATAGTGCGCTTCAGGAGGTTCCAGGTGTGGAGAGCCTCCAACCCTCGTGTCTACAGGAGTCGGCATGGCCGCAGATCGTTGAATCTGACTGAACAGCACTATGATGAAAAGCAGTGCTTGGCAGGCGACTGCCGACCTCCTGTCCCTGGACTTGGGACCAGGGCGGCTCATGTTATTAGGGGGTTTGGTGCGGCTCGTCAACTGTGCCTGTGCGACTGTCGCAAAAGAGTTTGTAAACGGAAAATTAAACTGTACATGAGAAGGACAGCAGGTCAGGAGACCACCAGCCAAGCAGCAACCTGAGGCCTGAGGATCGTCGGCGCCGACAACGAGGTCGTCGACTGCGTTGCCGTCGAGGAAGAGCTCGGTTTGTCCGAAAACGTCCAGGTCGAAGGCATCGGCCGAGATCGCATCGAAGAGCATGGGGTCCGCGCAGTCCAGTTCTAGGGCGCATCCGGGCCCCTGGAACTAGAAGATGGCTCGCCATACTCCTCCGCAGCTGCAGGCTCCTCCGGCACTGTTGGGTGAGGATCTCCCGAGTACCGCTGGTACCATTGCTGGAAACTCCTGTTGTCATCGTCGAGGAGCGGGAAGAGAGCCAGCAGGGTGGCACAAACAGAAAACCCTGGACTTGTTCCACCACATAAGAGGCCAGATGATCCGCCGAGTCCGGGCGCAGACGCTTCCGTAGGCTACGTCGTAGCAGAATTGCCAGGCACTGAAGCAGGATGTTGCGTGGCGGGTATGGCCTGTAGTTCGCGGCCAAAACCCACGAAACATCATTTTCCGGCGTGCCATTCTGCCAGAGAGCGCCCAGAGACTGATAGTCCTGATCGAGATCTCGGGACGGCTCCTCGTCAAGTTGAAGATATACGTAATTGTAGACATCTCCAGGCTCCTGGTTCGCTCGGCTACGGCGTTGCGCTGCCAACTTGGCATTTCTCCATCTTCTGTCCGGGTGGTGCAAGCTGAGATGGGCCCGCCAGGTAGTAGAAGCTGAGCTCCCGCAGGGATTGGTGGGCCACCTGCTCCATGAGTGCACCGTGGCTTGCAGGCAGGGCAGATCCGGCTGGCCCTGACATGGGCCCATCCAGAGATGGTGCCAAATTGCCGGGCCCTTGCACAGCTTCCTGGTCACTGGATCCATCTGCAGCCTCGCTGCTGTTGCCAAAACTGATGTCACCATCATCATCGCTGTCCAACATATTAAAAGCGTCATCACTGTCAAATGAGCTGGAAGCCGCATTCGATCTAGGCATGCCCCGGCTCGAAAGCCCCACAAGCAGGCAGCCCGAAAGTAAGGAAAAAGGTTGCAGCAATATCCAGCTAAGCAGACAGAGCTTCGCAGTCGCACACATGCACGAAGGGCCCCCAAAATCAGAAACACATTTGGGCCGAGACACTTACTACTACCACTACTACTACTACTACTACTACTACTACTACTACTACGGCTGCTACTACTACTACTACTACTACTACTACTACTACTACTACTACTACTACTACTACTACGGCGACGACGACGACTACTTCTACTTACTACTACCGCTACTGCTACTATTGTTATTACTG